AACTGTACGTACGATAGGCCATTTCGAAAAAGCATCAATTAGAATGAAAAATGTTTTATCTAAAAATGGTCCTGCGAAATCTATATGTATTCGTTGGAAAGGCTCAGTCGCTTCTTCCCATAAGTGAACTTCCTTTTTCGGATTATTTTTATAAGTATTGCAATTTGCACAATTTCTGACAAGATCTTCGATCTCTTGGTCTAATCCTGACCACCAAAAATAACTTCGTGCTAGATTTTTCATTTTCGTCATTCCAAAATGCCCTACATGTAATTCTTGTAACATTTGTTTACGCAATTTCGTTGGTATTACTATTCGGTGATCACGCATCAGTACACCATTTATTTCACGGAATTCATTAAGATCGATATTCCAGAAAGTTCGTTTCGCTTTTCCCTGTTTCTCTTCTAATATTTTACATAGTTTTTGACAATTCACATCGTTCTGCGTTTCGGCTTTAACAATTTTCGCGTCAATTGGAAAAGAATTTACTGTTTCAATTAGAAATGCATCTATTACATCATGTGTTTCTATTTTATTAGACAAAGGAAGTCTTGATAAGCAGTCTGCATTCGCATGTTCGGCCGATTTTCTGTATTTAATTTTGTAATTGAAACCACGTAAGAAAAGACCATAGTGCTGCATTCGTAATGCGCTGAAAAGTGGTAAACTTTTTTGTGGAGAAAAAATTTGAACTAAAGACCTGTGATCAGTTAATAATGTAAAGGAATTTCCGTATAAAAATTGGTGAAATTTTTTTATTCCAAAAATAATAGCATAGGCCTCCTTATCAATTTGACTGTACTTCCTTTGTGTAGTAGACAAGGTTTGTGACGCATATTGTAATACTTTCTCGGTTCCGTCTGGAAAAGTATGTGAAAGAACGGCGCCCACACCGTATGAGCTTGCATCAGTGGCCAGAACTAAAGGAAGTTTAGGGTTGAAATGTGCAAGACATTTTTCACTTAAAAATGCTTGCTTAGCGTTATTAAACGCTTTTTCACAGCTTTCTGTCCAGTTAAAAGTGCTGTTCTTTTGTAAAAGTTTATTTAACGGAAAAACGATGTCACTGAGGTTTTCTATGAACCGACCATAATAATTTATTAATCCCAAAAAACTTCGTAGTTCTGTAATATTTTGGGGTCTCCTCATGTGGCGGATTGCTTCCATTTTTTCTGGACACTTATGGACACCATTTTTATCAATCAAATAACCGCAATATTGAATTTTTTTCTTTGCAAATTCGCTTTTATCGAAATTGATTTTAACGTTATGCTTTTGTAAACAATCAAGAACTTTCTGTAATTTTCGCCAATGATCTTCTTCGTTTCTGCCACCGATTCGAATATCGTCTAGAAAAACAACTACGCCTTGAATTCCTTGCAAAATTGTTTCAATGCTTCTTTGCCATATAGCTGGCGCACTAGCAACGCCGTACATTAATCGTTTACTTTTACACAACCCTCTATGTGTATTAAGGGTCAGTAATTCACAGTCTTCTTCTCTGACCATGAGTTGCAGATAAGCATTTTGGAGATCTATTTTAGAAAAAATAGTGCATCCCTCCATTGAGGTAAATAACTCATCCGTAGTAGGTAAGGGATGTTCATCCACTATTAAGTGTGGATTTAGCGAGACACTGAAATCTCCACAAATCCTGACTTGATTGTTTTTTTTCAAAACTGGTACTATGGGAGTTGCCCATCTAGAAGTATTTACCTTCTCCAAAATGCCTTCTTTGCATAAACGGTCTAATTCTTTATCTATTAAAGAGATTAATTTGAAAGGAACGGATCGTGCTTTGTGAAACACTGGTTCAGTGTTCGACTTCAATTTTAACTCTGCCTGTAACCCTACTATTTTTTAATGTTTTGATCCAATCCTGCCTTGTACCTTGCAATCAAATTAGTAATTCGCGAGTCTGTGATACTATCTACGTTGTGTATTGAAACACATTTCTGATATATTTCGGCAATTTCGGGAATATGTTGCAATTTATAAAACCATTCTCTTCCTAATAACGGTTTACGCTCCCCTGGTGTTAAGAATAAATCTAACCATGTATGTTTATTTCTACATTTAACATCTACTACTATACGACCCAAGGATTTAATTTCCTGATTGCAAAATGAACGCAGCTTTAAATCAGTTTTGAAAATAGTCAAACCTGGGAATAATCTTCGCGCGTTTTCAATACCGATTACCGATACCGCCGCACCTGTATCTATTTCGAACTCCAGTGATTTCTGGTTGACTTGAAGAGTAGTAGAAATTTTTGCTCTTGCCTTCCTGAGATCGGTAGTGAGATTTAGAACTTCGTCCAATTGGTTAGTTCCCTGCTTCCCTTGGAAACACACCCTTTGCAAATGACCAGTCTTTCCACACGTGTTGCATCTCACGTTAGGGTTTAACGTACATTTAGGCGCTAGATGTCCTTTTCCGCATCTGTAACATTTTACACTTGAATTGAA